TGTCAAGTCTTACTTTCCTGGGTAGATTTACAGGCCAATGAAAGGTTCAGTTTTCCTCCAGCTTTTGCCTGGAGGCTATTAGTCTCAATTGCTTGATGAGCCTTGGGTTGTAGATCCCAATTTGCATTTCTCTGATCTGGCCTTTTGGCACTAAATTTCTGAGGAAGGGGACTTTCCTTTTTTCCAGGCTCTGGGAAGGGGCTCTTTGTGTAAGATGGCTACTGTCCTATGAGGGAGTGATTCAGTATAAAACTCCTGGTGTCCTCCTTCCCAGCTATCTTCCATGTGCCATGAACCCCCGACTCTCTTCACACAGTTCTACTCCAGTCCACCCTCCCTCTTCTGGAGCCCCAGGTGAGTGGCTGTAGCTGATTTAGTGCTCTGGCCCTTCAGGGAGGTGTTGTTTTTTTTGCTGCACCTATCCTTGCCAGACAAAGCCTCAGCTCTGGTGATCTCAGCTAGGTGTTATGCAGACACCTTTGCCTGTCCTACAACACTGTTCTGGGATTTGCCATTCTGTGCTGTCCAGCCAGCATGAGGTTTTGAATCCCAAATTCTCAGAGGGAACTGCTTATATCCAAAACAGCCCTCAGCTGCTGTTCGTGGGCTCCCAGCCCACCCTCTTACACCTTTGCAATTCCTACCAGGCTTGATTTGGTGCCCTCTTTCTATTCTTGGTTATGAGGGTTTTCTCCAGCTGATTTTTAGTTGTTTTTTACCCAATGATTTGTTTTTATTGTAGTTGTAATTCCCGGAGATGAATGTAGTTGGTCCCCGGAGATGGTTTATGTAGCTTCCATTCACTCCGCCAGCATTTTTTCCCTCCTTTGGACTCACACCCTACAGGCTCCAGTGTTGGGGAGGCAGCTTGAAAGGCACCAGAAACATGTGGGAAAGAACTCAGTTATTTGGCATTGGGGCGAGAGCTTGAGAGGCAGCTTTCTCCTGAACAGACATGCTGTGTTGGGCCTTTGTTCCTTTGGTGAGCCCTTCCCCCATGGGGCCAGCGGACACCGCCATTTCTGGGACTCCAGCAGCCTGGCTCCCACTGCCAATTGATGTTTCTCTCTCACATTGATGTTTCTCTCTCTCTCACTCCTCCTTCCTCTCTCTCTCTAAAAAAAGAAAAAAAGTCAATAAAAATATATTTAAAAAAAAAGGAATGTTAGAATATTGTGCTAACAAAAAGCATGGTATTATTAATTCCATTGAGAATCGGGTTATGCTTCTTAGAAAAAGTAGCCTTTGAACTTGGGGTGTAAAAGTGGTACTTTTTAGAAGAAATGTTCTTGGGCTCAGAAATATTCTTAGGCTCAGAAAGATTATGAGTGAAGGTGAAGAGGCATGTGGCACACCAAACACACTTGTCTGCAGGTTCCTCTGGTCACAGTGCTTGTCTTTGGTGTGATGTGACCTAATATACATTTTTGAAAAATCATCTGCAGGACAGTGGCATAGAACATTGTAGGAGAGGATAAGACTTAGCCAGTGTTCAGGTCAAAGGTTGTTGTAGTTTTAGATGAGAGACAAGTTGATCCTGTATGAGTGATGGCCAAAGTGTAAAATCTTAGCAAAGATTACCAATCTTAGTAGATTACCATGACCTAGCAACTGTTGGCATTAGAGATCAAAGAAAGTGTTGAAGAGGATTATGAATCTTTTTCATTGATAGGTGAGTTTCATTTTGAATCTGTTAATTTTGAGGTATCTTTGGGATATCCTGTTGGAAATTTAAATCATGAATTCAGGGAAAATTTTAGTGTTGGTGACCTGTGCCTGGGAATTGTTTGGGAGGAGGCTTTGAAATTGTATACTTTTTGAGCTTGTCCAAGGAGGCATAATAAGCAATTTATAGAAAGAATCAATAAGAGTCATTTAAGGGAAGAGCAATAAGGACAGATATTCAAAAGGAATCAAATGGAAGTACCAGTAGCATACTGGACTCTTGACACCAAGGAAAGGGAGAAGTTTGTGGCATTCGGTCTCTTCATCTTAAAGATATATTTTCCCCTCTGCAAGTGGTGTTTTGTCACTGTGCAAACATTCCAGGTCAGTATTAACTTTTTACCTAACAGTTTTAGCATCCATTGATTATCTTTGTTTGAATGAATTATTTCATTAGGGATTAAAAATGGTGATTTTTTAGATTTTAGTTATTCTACTTATAGTACTTGGCATTTTTCTGAAATGCCAAGTACTATAAGTACTTGGCTTTCCCTCAGGTATTGACACTGTTGGCTTCTCTGAAATATAGTTTCTATGGAAAGTCAGAATATATGTTTAATACCTTTTGTTTAATTATTTATTTTCAAAGTAAATAGTGTAGTAATCTCCTTAGAGGAAGAAAATGAATAGAATAGCCAGGGTCCTAGCCAATGGTTGTTAGCCCCAAGATCTTTGACATAAAAATTTTACTTGTCTTCCTTCGTACTTCCAACCCTTCTTCTCTTCGTGGACATTTAAGGTCCTGTCATTAGTAGGTTTATCTACCCTTTATGACATATTTTAACTTCTCATCAGTAAAGTTATGGACTATCATGTAAAACAAATAGTTTTGCTTTGTTCTGAAATTATCATGCTCTAGTTTTAAGGAGGGATTCAGTATTTGGGGATACGTGTGCTTTAGTTTTTTATTTGCTTCATTCTTTTACTGGACTTTGTCTCCATCGTCTGTTTACTTTACCATTTCTGTGTTCCTATAGGTAAGGTCAGTACCCAGTGTCTGGGCCTGGAGCAGCATCTAGTCTTTCCAACATCCTTCTACGCTTGCAGTTACGCTCTGTCACAGCTTTCTTGAGCTACTCTGACCGGAAATGTACTGAATTTTTCTAGTAAAACATACTTGCTGTTAATGTTTAATGCTACTATTGAGTTTTAAAAGTTTATTTTCTGTAGGTAATTAAAATACTTACAAGGTTTCATGCTAAAGTTTATATTGGTAAATATAGATTTTTTTTTTTTTTCACATCACAATATTGGCACAGATCCCAGACTATAAATTTATTCTTAAGATTTATTCTCTGATGGGGGAGGCATAAAGAAATAAAAACAATACCATAAACTATGGCTAAGGTCTATACATTGCAAACCTATTATATTAATTACACGTTTTTTGTTGCTATGTTTATATTCGTTGCTCATGGTTTAAGTAATGAAGATTGAGAATCAATCATGTATATAAGATGTACAGACAGCCTGCCCTTAACAAAGTTATTAAGGAGAATATTTTGGTACTTCTCTTGAAGTAGAACACTGATTTAACTAAGTTGAAGTCAGGTTAACATTTCTAATTTGTTCTTATAGGAGATATTTAGATTTAGTTATTGAACTAAAATGTTTGAGCTTCCTACTTTATCCTAGCCTTCTCATTTCTTTTTAGAGCATTTAAGTTGAGTTTTACAGCCTGGTAGTCAAAACAGGTTGTTTAAGCTATTATTTAGAAGAAACATTCAATGGCATGTGGTTGCTCTGGGACATTTAAAATAAATATTTATTAACTAACTAGGTTTTGTTTTTGTTTTTGTTTTTTTATCCTCACCCGAGTACATTTTTTTCCATTTCTTTGTTCAGATAGAGTGGGATGGAGAGAGAGGGAGAGGGAGAAAGAGAGAGAGAGAGAGAGAGAAACATCGACGTGAAAGGGACACATCGAGTGGCTGCCACCCGCATGACCAACCAGGGCCAGGGACATACTACAACTGAGGTACGTGCCCTGAGTGGGAACCGAACCTGGGTCCCTAGACCGCAGGCCAACGCTCTGCCGCTGAGCTAAAACGGCCAGGGCTAGGTGTTTTATTTTTTAAATTTTTTTAAAAAATTTTTATTTTTTTATCCTCATCCAAGGTCATTTTTTCATTTATCTTCAGATAGAGCAGGAGAGAAATAGGGAGGAAGACAGAGAGAGAAACATCGATGTGAGAGAGACACATTGAGTGGTCGCCACCCACACGACCCCAACCCAGGCCAGGAACAAACTGTAACTGAGGTATGTGCCCCTAGAGGGAACTGAACCCAGGACTCTCTGGTCCGCAGGTCGTGCTCTAACCGCTGCGCCAAGCTGGCCAGGGCTAACTAAGTTTTTATGTAAAGATATGACTGTCATTATGTTTGCTGAAAAATTATGTATATATTATATACCATGAATTGGGATAGACTAATTGTTTTCTTTACTTGATATTTGAATTAATGATTACAAATAGCTTGTGAAGTAGGTAACTGAACACTCTATAGCATCTTACATCTCTTGCTCAAAGTCATAAAACTACAGAGATCTAAATAGGGAGCCAAATTCATTAGTCTTTCTTATTTTAAACATTTTTGGTAAATTAGAGAAACTACCTCACAATATTATTATATGATTGGAAGGAAGAAGAGAAAAAAACCAGTAAAAGTTTTGCATGGAAATATATGTGTTATATATATTTGGTGCATATACTTGGCTTGGAGTATCTTGTTTCATCTCTTATGTGTTTACACGGGTGCATTCACGCACACACGCACACGTGCACATGACTGCCTTCCTTGTAGTCACTAGGCTCCTTTATCCTAAGCATATGACAGCATTTCTCAGGGCTAGTCTAGATGAAATGTCCTCAATTAGTTACTTTGTGTAGCTCTGTAAAAACATTTTAAATAGCCCTAGCTGGCTGGGTTCAGCGGTTAGAGTGTTGGCCTGCGGTCATGAGAGACCCGGGTTCAGTTCCCGCTAAGGGCGCGTACCTCGGTTGCAGTTTGTCCCCGGCCCTGGTCGGTTGTGCGGGTGGCAGCCACTCGATGTGTTCCTTTCACATCGATGTTTCTCTCTCTCTGTTCCTCTCTCTCCCTCCCACTCTACCTGAACAAAAAATGGAAAAATGTCCTCGGGTGAGGATAAAAAAAAACAAAACAAAACATTTTAAATATGTGGAATCATTTTTCTGCTACTTTTTACAAATCAGGTGCATCATTAATTTGCAGGGTCTGGTTTTTTACAACACAACTTTTTGTTTCTTTTTGAATAGAAAAATGAAAACTACAGAAGCCTCCCACGGGATACTAGTAACTGGTCTAACCAATTTCAGAGAGACAATGCTCGCTCATCTCTGAGTGCTAGTCACCCCATGGTGGACAAGTGGCTGGAGAAGCAAGAACAGGTAACATAATGAATCCTTTTACATGCACCTTTGGTATGATTTACTAACCCATACCCCAAAATATGTTTCCCTCCATTACAATGATGATTAAAGTAAACTATTCTAAGGAACTTTAAGTAACAGGCTCTATGTCAGTGTTTGTGTACCATTAATGTAAAATATTTCTGTGGTGGTTTCTGAGCACAGATTTCTCATAAACAGTTATTAATATTTGCTGTAGATTGTGAAACGTCACAACTTCAGAGCTTGTTGTGTGGCCAAGGCATAGATATTTGACAGTGAATAATGCAATTTATGAGTAGGCTTTCAAGACCATTCATGGGTTCTTCTCTTCATTTATAGGCAGTAAGTCAAAGGATCTGAAGAGGCCATTTAAAATTCTGTTATACATCACTTTATAAGAGTAATCTATGCTATAGTATCATTTCAGAATTTAGATTATTTGTGAGGCTTGGGGAGTTAACTTTTCATATGTCAAGGACCTATTTTACGTTTATAAGTTTTTAAAATTGCTTAGTTCACTGTGCATGGTAGTAACCTATAATTCACGAAATCAGAATTGTTTATTACTCATTGTAAATAACAGCTTCCTGTCTTGGGAAGGATTGTTTGCAAAGTCGTTATATCACTGTTAGAGAGGCATGATTTTCATATGAAGACTAAAAATTTATCTGGTAAGTTTTGTTGTATAAAAATAAAATTCTTCCAGTATTGTTTGTTTAAAGTCTTAATTATTTATTATTAGTCACTGTTTTCTTTGTAGTGGGAATGCCAGTGTTTTCTTTACAGTTTTAATAGTTTTGATGTTAAAAATTCACTTATTTGGTTATTTATCACTTGTTCATCTTATTACAATGTTCATATGGATGGAAAACTAGGTGAGTATTCAGTGAGAGAATGTTTTGTTGTTTATCTGTTTCAATAATTTCTAAAATTATTAATAATTATTTTGCCTAGATACTGGAATAGCTACATTTTGAATTTAGATTAATGATATCAGTGGTAAGAAACCCAAAGTATTTTACTTAATTAATCTCAGTCTATGTTTTATAGCATAAACCTTCCAAAACATTTTGTGTATGTAGGATATTCTAATATGAAACTATTAAAAAAGACAATTTGCCTTTGCTACCACTGATGATAAGGCACGTATACTGATTTTTATCCTATAGTAAATCTTAGCATACAAAAACATTGTATGATTGAATTAATTTTAAATAATTACAAAAACATTGAAGTTCTACTTAGGAAAAACATTTTTCTTAAAATAATACAGATTTTTAAACTAATTGGTGTTATTACTTCATTATCACTTTGAAGAAAATGTTTTTAAGATTTAAATAGTTTAGTATGGGCCTGGAGTCAGACCTGCTGATCATCAGCTATTTACTGTATATGAGATTTGACATGAGATTTGGGCATATTGGTAGATTCATCCATACCTGAGTTTACTTGTTTATCAAATGGGGATAATCATAGAACCTGCCTCATATGTTTGCTGTATCAAGTAATGTGATATCTGCCAAGGAGCTAGAATCATGCCTGATTAAAACGGTCTGCTGATAACAGAAAATTTAGATTACATATTAAGGAAACATTCCTTACTCATTAACAAGAAGCCTGGAGGAAAGGAAGGTGTGTGTGTGTGTGTGTGTGTGTGTGTGTGTGTGTGTGTGTTCATTTGTAGCTCAGTGACCTCACTGGGAATCCGGATTCTCCATCTCTTCCAGGAGTCTTCACAGGGCTCTTTGGCTCTGTGCTCTCAAGCTTACGCTTTCCTGCCAAAGCCCTAACCATCATGTCCTTACACAGAGGAACGGTAATAGTGCTTTTTATTTCTTCATGACACTTTTTGAAAGCAAGTCCCACAACAGAGGCCCCTCCTGTTTTGATGTGGGGAATTGCATTACTTGCCTGCCCAGTTCTGAATCCAAGGGAGTGAGAGTACCAGTCTTGGTTTAGACTTCTTGAGCTTGAACTCCTGGAGCCGGGGGTGGGGTGTGGCCATTTCTCTGCCCTGAAACACAGATGCTCATCATTGACACAATCAGAGTTCTGTTAAGCAAGGAGGAAGGTACAGTTAGCTAATTATGTAAATAGGACCATTTTTATTGCAAGATTAGGAGAAAATATTGTCAGCCCAGAGTTTTAAAAATACAATAAATTTAATTATGTCCTAAAAATATAACTTTTAATAGTGTGGTTGCAGATCTCTTTTTAAGAAAGTAATATCGTTTTTCTTTGTGAATTTGGTATAAAATAGTTTCTTTTTTAAGCCAAAGGGATTGCATATAGAAGCCACATAAATACTTTTTCCCCAAAGACTGTCTTAATTTGTTTCTGTTGAAGTTATTTAAAGTATTTGTTTCATGATAAGCAAGCTTTGTAAAAACATAAGTACTTCCTTTGTCTATGTAGTCTAATATAGATGACATTAGCTATGATTCCTGAGCCTAAAACCATCTTCTTCCTTGGCTTAAGTTTAAAAAATGATGATCCCTTCACTAAATTCACATAAACAGTATAGTGAACTAGACTGAAATCTACTAACTGGACAACAACAGCAAAAACTGATCAAACCCATATTAAAACTTTAGCTGAAAGTAAGCACAATTGGTAGGGCCAAAGAGGACTGATAGGTTATGCTGCATAGCTGGAAATCTCTTCCAGCTATTCTCATTTAATTGTGGATTTATTCTTTTAACTGTTCCCTATTTCCTATGATTCATCTCACTTTAATGGCCTGGTGTCTTTTCTGTGGCTTTCTTGTCTAGTTAATTTTTGCCATTAAAAAAAATAAAGAGAAAGGTATTACATAGATAAAAGAATATTTTATATGGTTAGAAAAAAATCGACTCTCTGCCTGTACAATTTGGGATCACCAGGGCAGAACTGATGGCTGTCTTCCTTATGCTATCTAGACTAAAGAGGTCAATAGAGTTCTAGATTTTATGTGTCTCCAGTGGTTTTGTCTTTGCTCTATTTCCTACTACAGTGCTTATCTCTCATTATCTCTGTATTTTTAAGGCAATTATGACCACATCAGCTTTGCCAATGGGAATAAACAGTAGGGACAGAAAAGGACAAAAGAGTGTAAAGAGTGTTGAGCTGGCAGGCACCTCTGGAAGCTGAATGTGTCTTTTTCTTTCTGTAGGATTGGTCCTACAAAAGGGAACATGGAATTTCTTTCCCTCTGTTAGAATATTGGTAATTTATATCTCTATAACCAAAGGTAGGTGATGTATGTTATTAGAACTCTGTACCAGGAAGCACTTGGAGTCAAGCTAAATATTTTTTCAAAAATAGTCATCTTGCTTTTCAGGGAGTAGTTCACTTTGCTCAGAATAGCCTCAAGTTGAATTCTTTATCAGGTTCATTTCAGAAGGTAGAGGACCAGGTACCTTTCAGAGAACATCCTTTTGTTATGTCAATCTTGTGACTTCATTTTTTTGAGAGATCTCAGAGGAATCACAAATAATTTGCAAAATAAATGGGTTGTTTTATTGCTTTGAAAAAGTTTTCATACTTCTGAAATTTTGATTATAAGACAAAAAAACAATAAAAGCAAAAAACCTTAATTTTGATGTTTAACATGGTTTAAGAAATCTGAATTTCTTTTAACCATTACCATTTCCCTAACTGTGTGTGTAGATTATAATTTAATGTTGGTAGTTAATAAATTATATGCTGACTTGTTCTTATATCCCCACTGTTTATTGCAACTAATAAATTCCATAAAACAGGAGGCAAGAACTTTACAATATGTAATTGGTATAATTTAGGACCAGAAAGTAGAGGGACCTTAAGGGAAGTTAAGGTAATTGGGAGCCTGCCATTTTCACTACCTTGTCTTGGTGAACAGGCCTGAAGCCAGTGAAAAGAAATAGCAAAGAGGTGGTAGGCACCTTCCAGGCACAGCTTAAGTTCTGTTAGAGAGGAATGACTGCCCTGACATTTAGAGAAAAATCCTTGTTGTAGGGTTCTTTCCATCAAGCAAAACCTTTATCTAATTGGCAGATTGTACTAGTGGAGGTGACCTGTGAGGAAAACTGCCTTAAATGCTTGGTGATGACGCAATTTAAGTGGGTCATTGTACTGACCCCTCACTTTTGTACCCTTGCCTGCACATCCCACCATTCAGTGTCAAGTCTCAGAGTCTCAAAGCCAGGAAGGAGTTTTAGGAGCAATCTCAGTTACAGTACTTCTTTCTTATTTTATGCACTTTGTCACTATCTCCAGCCGTGATGCTTTTACTTTATCCTTCTTCAAGCCGAACAAAACATTCCTGAGCTACTCATTTATTCCTTCTGAAATCAAGATGGCAACTATATGGATTGTGTCTGTTTTTACATTAATCTGTATTTATTAAGTCCTAGATATTAGGATTAGAAAGTAGCTGAGTGTTAAATACATAGAAAATATATTTAAATAAAATATTGCTATACAATAAATGCTTATCATTTGTTTTATTCTCAAAATAGAATAGTTCACCTATACTAAAAATATCATTCTGATACTTTTTAAACTTTTGAAAATATTTATGCATTATAACTAATATTCACATAATACACAATGAATATATTTATAGCTGGAACCAAGGTTCAGCTACCTGCCTCCATGAAAACCAAACTGTGAGACAGGTGCCAGTAAGAAAAAGGAAAAGGTTTATTCAAGTGCTGGTTACCTGAGAAATGCCCATCCAAAGCCCATTTTAGCATCTCAGTACAGGCAGGAGTTTTTATAGGGAGGGAGAGGGAAAGCAGAGCAAAGAGATCAGGAGGAGGGCTGTGGACGTGCAGGCAGTGTCTTTGATGGTCCCGATATGGATTTTTAATGTCAGCATACTGGAACTGGTCAGCCAGCCAAATTCCTGCAGTTGGGCAATCTTTGTCAACTGAAATCGTGGTCAAGGCCTTTAAGGAAAATGTCTGTATATGAATTCATTTTATCAATTTGTTACTACATTATATCCTAATTCCATTTTGGGAGTAGTCAGAGTA